ACAAAGGGTTTTCACTAGCAGCTGAGTTGAAGTAAAACAGGAAGATCTATAAGAGGCCAAATCAAGAAATTTCTCCTGATTGCAGTGAAAGGCATGAGTCTTAGTATTTGCAATGGACTTACTGCGCTGTTAGTGTTTGGGCCCTGCATAGCCTGGGTCATGTATGTACCGGTTGCCCTATAGAACATTTTATGTGCGCCTCATTTTAACTAATAGTCTAAATTAAGATTTAGAGAGAAGATCTCCAATCCATAGAAGGAGCAGAGATTTGTGGTGTTAGAGAACATGTTTAATCTTAAGTAGTCCTCACTTAACCCAAGGATGAGTTGAAGATAAGATTGACCTTGTTAGTTCACTGGGTATTTCTAATTTCTAATCAAAGATTTTAAAAATGAGTTATAGCCAACAAGAACTTATTTGTGTATATATATATATATAGATAGATAGATAGATAGATAGATAGAGAGAGAGAGAGAGAGAGAGAGGAGAGACAGAGACAGACAGACAGACAGACAGACAGACAGAGACAGACAGAAAGAGAGAAAAACAGAGAGAGGGAGAGACAGAGAGATCCACATCTGTTCTGATCTGTTCTGGTTGAGTTATTGCAGTGTTGCTGATCAAAAATTGGTCTCATAAAAGTTCATCTAAGCATTACTGAGCTGTCTTTTCAAAGTTCATGATTGATCCAGACTGTCTCTTGGTGCTCCAGGGTCCATAAACATGTGGGATGCTAAGTAGTCCTCTTGCTTTCAACCCCCGCGGCTCACTCTGGCAGCTGTAATGCTCCCTTGTTGCATGCTACTGCATCTATCAAACTTTCTTGACTATGCCACTGGGTTTGACCTTTACAGTCTCTTACGTCCTAACCCACAAATAAATGAAGGCCTAGACTCAGAATGGAGTCAGTTTTGCCATAGCATCCGTCTTGTTTTGTGGCCTCAGTGGCTAGAAAAGGTTGATATCTACTTCACCTCCCTGGAGAAGGGGAACCCTGAAGTCTCTGTCAAGGTTAAGGACATCAGCTAAAATTCAGGCCCCATGTAGTAAGGGTTAACCTGTTAACTACCAACCTTCTATTGCTTCTTCACATTAGGGCAATCACTGCTACCTATAGAGAATGGCCTTTCAAACGATATCTCTGATGGTTGTTTTAAAACCTGGGTACAGGAGAGCCATGCAGAATTCAAGTTTAGTTTAGCACCTCTGGCCTGAAAAGGGTAGAGATGTGGATTAATACCACATCTCTGGGCTTCCTGTATCTTCTCACTGACTGCTAGCCAGCCTTTCTTCAACCTGGAAAAAGACCGAAATGCCCAGTGTGATTGCAATAGAGAAAAGGAAGGTCTAGGACCCCCGTCATGTCAGCAGTATAAACACAATGAGCCTTGCCCATAGACTGGCACAGCAATAACCAACCGAATGAGAAGGTATGTTTGTTGGTCATTGTCTTCTATCTGTGTTTCCAGATCTAAAAGAATGGACTCCCTTAGGAGGGAACTTATATACCCAAGGTTTCCTTTCAAGAATTTAACCAGTAAGTCTTTAGTATCCTACTTCTAAAATGATGGACTACAGCTGCCTCATAATTGAATCTTTCCTCCCTGTACTTCTTGCTCTTCTGCATACTCCACTTATGAAATGGATCCGGAGCCCATCCTCTTCCTCTGCTAGCCAAGCCACTTATGTTTGTCGAAGTGGACGGATGGACAGTTGTTAAAGTGTCTTCTTCAATCCTGCATCCTTGGCTCCTTTTGTGCCAGGCTAACAGGTGCATATGACTGGCGTGTTCTTTTGGTTGGATGTGTTTTACTATGGCTTCTATTGGTCTTGTGTCTGATCTCAGATACTCGAAGGCTTAGTTTACCACTGCAAAATGGCATTTGTCCCTCTGAGCCTGCATGGAAGCCTCTACTCCTGACTCTGTCCTATCTGGCTTGTGGTGTGGTGCGCCATCATCAACTCTTTGGAGGAATCAAGTCTTTGGAGTCAAGAGAAATGAAGCTCTACTTCATTTCTTCCACATTAATACTGAATGTTATTATTTCTCTCTTACCTGAACTCATCTCTCTCAGAAAACTGAGTCAAAAATAGGTACTGATTTTGTGGTTTTTGAAGGTGCAATTATCTAGTGTATAGATGCTAGATAAGGATAGACAATATAACCCCTTATCTTGTTTCCTTCTACCTTTTCTTCCTTTTTCCTTACCTCTAAAATCTGCTGAGGGATAGTTCCTGCACCATTGAAAGCAGACCTCTCCAAGAATTACAGACTAGCCTTAAAGGCAGGCACAAATCAGCGGTTTTAATCTTCAGAGGCCATAAAAGAGGAGACAGTGAGGAGCAAAGCAGTTCTCCGCCTTCTGTGCGGTGGCTTGCCTGTCCACAGATAGGAATGGAGTGTGTCTCTCAGGGTTTGCTGCTGTGCTAATACAAGTCTGATCATCCACTCATTACATATCAGGGCTGCAGAAGAGATTACTCATCTCTCACTGCCAGGAAACGTCCCCCGAACGAGAATACCGACATGTGTGCTTCTGTTTGTCACAATTGCTGCATTCCTGAGGGCCTTGGTCAGTGAACAAGCCTCACTGTGCTCCCCAGGCCAAAACCAGTGCCTTTGCTTGCCACTGGAGTCACGTACTCTACCAGTGGAATCTTGTAATCTTGGGCTATGCAAATGGAGACTCATCTGGAGATGTGGATAGCAAATCACCTTTTAAATATCTCTCCCTTCTGGCTCTTCAGAGATGGAACTAAAAACAAAATGAATCATCTCTAATATTTCTTTGCATAAAAAAAGCAGCTAAGAGCCTCTAGGATAAAACCCTAAGCTTCCTTCAACACCAGCAGCAGAAAGAGAACAGAAAACTTGTCTTCCATGCAAAGCTAATCAGAAAATTTGAGAAGATTTGATTCTTGTTTGCTTGCCAATAATAGAGTTTATTCCCAGACTCAGCTAGAGAATTGGTCCTGTCTTTCTTTTTTATCTCTTTACAGATAAAATGGGTGGTAGCGGTGAAGATGTATTTAGAGTAAAGGTCATAGGTCATTCAGTAAGTCACTGTGGTTGGAAGGTGGATTCCCCACCAAATCCAAAGTTGAAGGGAGCTCAGCCTTCCAGCCTCTTACTTCCTTTGCCCAGTATTTCTGGCATACTTGAGCTCCGTCCCAGCTAAGGGGCACCTGTGCCTCATTTCCCCAGGCAGCATGCGGAGGATGATGTAATCCACAGATGTGATCAGCGTCTTAATTTCCCTGACAGGGGAAGTCCTCTCGGGGCTTTGAAGGAAAGATTTGCCTCTTGTGGAAAGATTGTTATGATTATTTGTGATTAATAGCATACTTTACAGGCAAAATTGCAGGGTGAAAGCAAGCAAGCTTGACTCACTGAGGAAAACCGGGCTGGGCTGGAAGTGGTGCTGCTAAATTGTAATGATTTCCCCTGAACACTTCCACACAAGGCACAGAGCGCAGCTGGCTCAGAGGGCATCATGGTGAAGCAGGTGGAGCAAGAACTAGAATCCCACATTGTAGGCGACAAGCGCGTCCTCAGAAATGAGGGACTTTGCCCAGAGCTCCACATTTATGTGTTGTGTAAATCCCCAAAATTAGCTTTCTCACTTTGAACGTGTCTTTTTAATAGAAAATGCTGGTACTTTGTCAACTAAACAGAGCAACTGTACACCTAACCCACATGGATAGATTACTCGTTTTAACTTTTATAAGACAACAGTCAAATAATGTAAGTTCAGCTGTAGGTTTTTTCTTCATAGATTTGCCCTCTTTCAAATCTGTTTGTTCACAGAATTAAGTTAGATGGAAAATACACACTTGTGGGAAAATGGATAAGTCGGTGATGGTGTACTGCTACTCAGTGTTTGCTTTATTGAGCCCTGTGCTAAATAGCGTTGCAGGTATCTGATACAGCTCTGCCTTAAAGAAGGGAGCAACTGAAGACTCCTGTCTTCAGGGAGAGCGCCTCAAATCCACTTGATTCATATCCACATAGAGAGACCGAGTGGGTGCCTAAGCTATGCGCCCGGCTTATGTAAGAAGAATACTAAAGAGGGAGACTGCTCTCCTCTATCAAAGCGACTGTGCTTAAAACATTTATTTAAAATTTAATGCAGTTTTTATGAATCAATGAATTAAAAAAGAACAAGCTTGTCATAACTGGGGACACCAGCGCAAAGAGGTTCCTTAGAGACGTGAGCTGTGTCCCAGGAAATGAAAAATGGCAGGCGTTGTGTAGCCGCGGTACACCACACGGAATGGTGGCACGGACAATGTCAGCTGTGAGTTGTGTAGCCGCGGTGCACCACATGCATGAAAAGCAGAAGATCTAAGGATTTGGTTGTCAGAAATATGTTGAGAATGGGGGAAGGGAGGTTTATCTGTACCAGCAACAGACTTTTAAGTTAGCCAAATGAACACATGCTAGAAGTGGATGTTGGTGACCTAGGATGAGAGTACTTTCCAGGCAATGATGGTACACACCTTTAATTCCAGCACTTTGGAGACAGAAAGGTAGGCAAATCTTTGAGTTAGAGGCCAGCATGGTCTACAAAGCAAGTTCCAGAACAGCCGGAGCTACACAGAAAAACCTTGATGTCTCAAAAGGAATGAGAGTAGTCACAAGGATGGACAGTTTCTGATGTGATAGCCTTTCTTTAAAATATTATTGTATCTTTGTTTTTTTTTATTGTGTGGATAAAAAGGCATGTATCTAGCAAAATGTCACAATTTAAGTTCAATTACTGGTTAATATTGTATAGCGTGTTATCATTTCAAACATATTATATTAACTAAAGAATTAACAAAATTTAACCTTGATCTTCAGAAAAAAATAGATTTTCATGTACCTGAAATGTGACCCAAATAGTGAGAATATTGTTGCTTCTCCACACTCTGATAACTGTGCCTCTGGCTGCTTCTCTAAGCTGGCTAATATGATGATTTAGTAGTAAAGTCCATAGTGACAACCATGCTGTCTTCAGGATCGGGTGTGGGCCAACGTGGGGAAGAGCCTCAACTGCATTATCGCTACCGTGGACAAACTGATTGAGAGAGATGGTCACGACGGAGGTGGTCCCGGAGGCAGCAGTGGTCAAGATGGAGACATGGAGCCTTCCCTAGAGGATTCCATCACATCTCACCCAAAGGGTAAGAAGCCGCTTTTCACCAATCATTGACTGAGTAAAGGAAATGGGAAAACTGATCAGATGAGCTAGAGAGAAGACAGTTGTGCCTTTGGTGAAAGATCTGGTGCTCGGGTATGGATGATGGGAGGAGATTTGTGACCATAGGGCTGCCTGCCATGTTCATTTTTTTTTTTTCTTTTAGTACATACGCTTCTTGAAAGAGGACCAGGGCATCCTTTGGAGCAGTAGTTCTCAGCCTGTGGGGTTTGATCCTCAAAAGACCATTGGGGAACCCTGATATTTATATTATGATTCATGACAGTAGAAAATTGCAGTTATGAAGTAGCAGCAAAAATAATTCTACGGTTGCCCACAGTATGAGCGACTGTATCACAGGGTCGCACCTTAGGAAAGTCGAGAAGCCCTGCTGTAGGGCGTGATATACTCTCACCTACTTTTACAAGGTCCCAAACAATAGTTGAGAGACAGTCAGCCGTGTGTTTTAACTCTCAGATCCTTCAGTACTTCGTACTTCTCACTGTTCCTGAGCAGAGCGCAGCATGATACAGGACTTTTGCATTCTTCTGAGGACCTCTTCTTAGTTATCCAAAGACATAAGAAGGCTCAGTGCTGAACACTATTTTGTTGTCATCCCTGAGTGCTATGTTTTCATGCAGGCAGGTACACAAGGACACACACATACATGTACATACTCATGGAAGTGTATATGTGTATGCATGGAAGACTGTATAGACAGAATCTAAGAGCAAAGAATAGAAATTGACAGCTATTGAATAGATAGTGGATGGATAGAGAGATAGATCCTTAATGACAGGTAACTGCATCCAAATGTTTGCCATATTGATATCTTGGCTAGCTCGTGTGATACACATTTTAACAATATTCATGCCTTCATCATTTGTTTTCCTATTTTTGTGATTAAACTACTAATATTAACAAGAACAAAACAATATTACATATATTATTGACATCAATAATTCCATTATAATCAAACTTGCATTTTTCTGGGTATCTTGTGTTTAGAGGGAATTAAAAGGCATTTTTCTAACACAGACTTCTAAAATCTATTCTTTTTTTTTAAAGGAGTCTCAACAAAGTATGAATGAACTTTTATAAAATTAATGTTTCCTCAATTTGTTCTGTTGATGTTCCATTGCTATGTGTATGTCAGTGACTACACACACACACACACACACACACACACATATATATATAATATGAGTTATAGACACATGCATATATCTGCACCAGTTAATGTGGACAGAAGCCATCAGGTTGGAAGAGAGCACAGAGGGGCCATGGGAGGCTGTGGAAAGAAGAAAAGGGAGGGGGACAACGAGTTAATTATGTTATAATCTCAAATAATAAGAGAAATAATTGGAAAATTCCATGTTTCCTCACATGATTGACGATAGATCTCTTCCTAAATTATATTTGGAAATAATAGACTTCCAGAGTTGTCTTTTGTAGATGGCCCATCCTCCTGGTTTGTGTCCCCACACAAGTGAACAGCCAGTGCTCCTTGTGCTCACACCTGCCTTGTAGGAATTTCCTTCTTAAAAATACTATATTAATTTTTAAAGTTAATGAATAAAGTAAGTCTCAAATTTCACATGAATCACAATGGAAACTTGTCACAATTATGTGTTAAAAATAATACTCTTCAACTTTCTCCAGCTGGGCCTGTACTGGCGAGCAAGTATGAACCAGAGGTAGCTGTGCTCTAGAAAACGGGATTGGTTAGTAGACTCCAGCAATCACAGAAAGAGACAGAATGAATCAAGTGTTTCTTGAGGGATTTTCAGTGCAGATTAATTCGAGCAGAAAAAAAGAAATATCCAATTGTGCTCCATTTTGAAACCTCCAAACAACCCAGTGAGGAAAACACAGTTCTGAAATCTGTGAAATGACCCAACTTGCTCACATCTTGTATCTCACTGGAGCGATGTTCCCAGATTTAAGCTGCACTTTTCAGAAGTGAAATGGGGCTGGAGATGTGGCTCAATGACCACGAGCCCTGGTTGCTCTTCCAGAGTACCTGGCTTCGGTTCTCAGTACCCAAATGGCAGCTCACAGCCATGATTCTTTTTCCAGGGAAAGAGTCCCTCTTCTTGCCTCCAGCAGCACCAGGCATGTAAACATACATGAAGGCAAAATACCTGTACATATAAAATTAAAATTAAAAATTAAAAATTACATTAGATTATCAATCTGTTTCCGCTCATGGACAGTTGTAGTCCAACTACACTAACTGACTTTTATATTTTTCTTCTTTATACTTTATCATATAGATATTTCATTTTACATTTTTTGTGTGTTATAACATTCCCTAGATGTTACAATTTAAAGTATAATGTGAAGTTGTTTAATAAAAGTTAATATGGTCAATAATTTCAAAGTTAAATATTTTATTAACATTTTAACTTCTGGACAACAGCAGACAGGGAAATATTTTTTTTGAACGTTCAAGTCTTTCTATCTTTAATAACCTGGAATTAGTTCAAAGCATGAAAAACAAAGTTAAGATTGTTCCTTTTACAGGAGATGCCCATTACAATAGACTCAATCACATGGTGGGATGGGATTCTAAACAATACAGGAAGGCATCACTGCTCACGGATTGATGCATTTGATTACTGATAATCGGCCTGGGGGCGGGCAGCAGGTGAAAGTAACGAACTCTCAGAGAACAGGATGCGGTTGCTGGGTCATGAGCACCTTGAAGCGTTTCTTGATGGTGATTCGGTGTCTTGAGTATTTGTCGTCAGGGGAGAACCGAGCAGGATGGGCAGAGCGCGTCTGTTGTCCCATAGGGTCAAATTTCTTCAGCGTATAGACGCCATCTCCCTGTTCGTTGAGGTAATACTGGAGAAACATGACTGCACTTCAGCAGGAAGATGCCAACCTGTCTGCAGTCAGTACCCTTTGCCCAGCGAGAATGTTTTAAGTAAGCCATTGCTATGAAACATAATATGAGTCTTGAAAGCAATTCTGTGCTTAAGAATACTTAAATAAATTACAGGTAATACTGCTTAGCTAGAACGACATAAATTAGTTAAGTCAGTTGATTAAAAATATTTTTACCTTTTATTAATTTATAGTCTTCCTCACTGATGGACGGCAGATAGCTGTTTCAGTTTCTATACTGACTGTTGCCATATAAAACAAAAAGGTGCACAAACACATAATTGGTTTTTGTTATTTTTTTCTTTTAAATTTTATTTAATTTTAAAACAATCTTTTCTCATTTCACGTATCAATCCCAGTTTCCATTTCCACCTCTCCTCCCGTTCCCACCACCTTCTCCCCACTCCATCCCCACCCACTCCTCAGAGAGGGTGAGGCCTACCTTGGGGAGTCAACAAAGTCTGTCACATCTCTTGAGGCAGGACCAAGACCCTCCCCACTCTATCTAGGGGAGAAAAGTATCCCTCCATAGGGAATGGGCTCCAAAATACCAGTTCACGCACGAGAGGTAAATGCTGCTCCTACTGTCAGAGGCCCCACAGACTGCCCAAGTCACACAACTGTTCCCCACGTTCAGAGGGCCTAGTCCGGTCCTATGCAGCTTTCCCAGCTCTTATTCTGTAGTCAGTGAGATTTCACTAGCTCAGGTCAGCTGCTTTTTCTGGATTTCCACATCATGGTAGTGACCCCTTTGCTCATGTTATTGCTCCTCCCTCTCTTCAGTTGGAGTCTAGGAGCTTGGCCTAGTGCCTAGCTGTGGATCTCTACACTCGCTTCTATCAGTTCCTGGATGAAGGTTCTATGATGACATTAAGATAGTCATCAATCTGATTACAGGGAAGGCCAGTTCAGCCCTGCTCTCCACTACTGTTTATGGTCTTAGCTGGGCCATCCTCGGGGATTCCTGGGAAATTTCCTAGCGCCAGGTTTCTCACTAGCCCCATAATGGTTCCCCCAATCACGATATCTCTTTCCTTGCTTTCGCCCTCTGTCCTTCCCCCATCTCAATCATCCTGTTCTCTCATGTTCTCCTTCCCTTTTCCTTTTCCCCTCCCCCTCCCCTTCTGCCCACACTCCCAATTTTCTCAGAAGATCTTGTCTATTTTCTCTTCACACCCATAATGTTTTTTTGAACAAAAATCAATTTTAAAAAACAATCAAGTAAACTTATATATTGGGTCCATAGTGTAGCGTAAATTATTATGATAAGGGATATTTGAGATGTGAGCCAATGTTCATATATATATATGTATATATATATATATATATATGTAAGAATCATAAGAGCAAAGGTAATACATCACAAGGTTTGTTTAAAGGCAGTAGATAGACTTGCAAATGCTTTTTAATTTTACTTCAACTGGATATAGCATCCGCACACTGACAGTATGCTCTTCAAATAAGGTGGAATGTACATCATGAATAAAACGTATGCTTTTATGTCTTACATATCAGTATTCTCCCATAAATGTTTCATGGAAATGAGATTTTAATGATTGTAAACTAATTTAGCAAAATGGAAACTGCTTTTTTAGATATTCATTTATTACGTTAATGCTACAATTAACAAAAAAGAGTCTTTGAATATTTAATTTGTTAAATTCATGGATATTCTCATTTAAGTTAGAATGCTAAGAGTGGGAAAATGTTATAATATTCCCCTTCCTCCCAGGCATTACTTATGCAACTAACCATTTTTATCACTGTGGATGCATACATGCTTCTTTTTATTTTATTTTATAATCTAATACCATTACCATTTATTTTGGGCTCAAATCATTGTGTATCCAGCAACTGGACGTGTCTTTAGCTCCTTACCACAGCCCTAAGTTCAGAATTCTCCAAGGCTCTTGCTGCTTTAACTGAATAACTGCACTTGGAATCCAGCTCTTGTTTACAGAAACATTTTCCTGTCACAATAGATCCTGAGTCTACTGTGTTTATGGAGGCGCTCTTGAAAGCACACCTTTGCCTTTCGGATTTCATGCCATAGTTGGTTTTAAAAAATTATATCTTGCTTATGTGGAAAGTTTA